CAGTAGCTTTGTACTCTCTGTTTTCCCTGCACCGCTCTCTCCGCTGCAAAGAAGTGAGGAAATTCCAGTTGCCATAAAGTACAATTGCTCTGACCCTCATGTCTTAATGTCCTATTGCTTGAGCATGCAATCCAGCAGTTTTACACCTTTTTCAGCTGTAACAGTGGGTTCCACAGTGTACTGGTTTCTGCCCGGAGTTTTTCCCCCTTTACCAGGAAGTACAGAAATACTTCATGCTGTCATTACTGGATGGGACACATAGAAGAGTTCACTTGATCTGCTTCTTAATGGTCTGTTAATACCTAACAATCCCCCTCAGAAGTGTTCTGATTCACCAACTGCCTCATATATGCTGGGGTCAACAGATTCCTGCTTCTATGGACTATTTGCCCCATCTCACATCCAGAAGTGAGCAATTGATCTTGTGATACTGCTGCAATCTCAAATCTCAGGCTCTTTATATGCTTCAGCTGGTTGATAATGCTGGCCTATAGCTGCAGAGCTGCCGTCACACCTACAGCAGCAATGCTGCACGTCATTTTGGCATCGCACAGACTCAGCACTCCACCTCCAAGTCAAATAAGTAGCAAATAGTCAAATAGTAGAAAGCACAGTTTCCCGACCTACGGGAGAGGGAATGTCCAGTCAAGGACACACTGCCTCACCGACCAACAGCATCACACTGGCACGCAACTTCAGCATCTGCAGAGTAAAATAAAAATGCAGGAAACGATGCAGGTATATGTGAGGGCTGGTCTCTGTTTACACACCTGACCTTTGAGCATCAGGTGTGGCTTTGCTGCTTCACAACTTCCAGTAACTCCGTGCTTGCACCTGGCACGGGCTGCTAAATACCTCAAGCTCTAAGATGAATACCTGATCCCAAGCATGTATTGAGCCATCATCACCTGAATATGGGAAACCAAAACAAGACCATATGCTATCCAGCACTCCTGCCACACAGATAAGATGATCTCTGATTGTCATAGAATAGTTTGGGTTGGAAGGTACCTTTAAGATCACCTAGTTCCAAACTCCTACAATAGGCAGGGACACTTCCCTCTGGACCAGGTTGCCCACAGCCCCATCCAGCCTGGATTTGAATACCTCCATGGAAGAGACACCCACAACCTCTGCACAACCTGTTCCAATGTCTCATCACATTCACAGTAAAGAATTTCTTCCTAACATCTAATCTAAATCCACCCTCCTCCAGATTAAAGCCATTTCCCCTTATCCTGTTGCTAGATCCCTTAGCAGAAGTCCCTCCCCGGCTTTCTCGTAGAGCCCTTTCAGGTACTGGAAGGCTGCTATGAGGTCCCCCTGGAGCCTTCTCTTCTACCCCGGCTCTCTCAGCCTGTCCCATAGTGGAAGTGCCCCAGCCCTCTGATCATCTTTGTGGTCCTCCTCTGGATCTGCTCCAACAACTCCACATCCCTCATGTTAGGGGCTACAGAACTGGACACAGTTCTTGGAGACTTCCTTCCTCCACAGAAGCACTGTCATTCAGCACTCCCCCAGGTCAAGCTCCCCCTTATGTTCTTAAAAAAGGGCAACAGCTCTGCCAAGTCCTGCAAGCTCACTCTCCAGCTGTGGGTATGTAACTGCCCCAGGCTGTGAAGAAAAGCAAAGTCATCTCCAGGAGACCCATGTGCTGTTCCACAGCATACTGATGCTGTGACTAATGCTAGCGAATCTCAGCCAGTGGAATCTGCAGCTCAAGAAAACTTGATTGCAACGAACTTTTGTCACCCAGGGGGCAGGTGCTGTGTTCAACATCAGTTATAACCTCTGAAGTAAGTCATCCAGATCTCCCAGAATAAGCTGAAGCGAACAAAAAGAGAACAGAAAGGGCAGGAAGGCAATGTGTGTATCCTAGAGAAAAGTACATGGGTTCATGCCTTGCTAGAAGTGGGCAACTGCAATGCAGAAGCAACACAAGCACAAGGAATAGTAGAACGTGGTGTATCGCTACACTGTTCTGATAAACTCCGGTGTAACAAGAGTGACATCAACCTCCACACCCAAAGCTTTGCTCAAAGTAGGCAATCTTGCTATTGGGTGTTTTACCACTTGCAGATAGTAAAACCATGAACTTCCTGTTACAACAACATACTTAACAGGATTGCAAGGTGCATGACAGTTGCTTGAGCTGTCATTTCTGAGACCACAAACCGCTCTCAGAAAATAACAAGACCACTGCCTCACTGGGAAACACCTACAGGTCACTCATTTTGTCTTCTACCTCCTTAGACAAATCCTGTGACTTTTCTCAAATCCTAAGAACTCCACCAGCAGCACCTTTCCCACCTGCAGACTCACAGCCACCACATCCTTCTGCTTCATAAGAGCACTTCAATGTGCTGTTGGCCTGCAGGCTGTTGAAATGAGCAGGGCTGAAACCTGAGGTCTGTTCCAAGTTCCAACTGCAAAACCCAGTAATGATTCAGTAAGTCATTTCCATACAGCGTAGCATGAAAATGATCAGAATGCTGACATAAAGAAGGAAACACTAAATCAAGCAGCTGGCAACTAACATATCAACCCAAAAGACATTTAAAGCCTCTACAATCGTCAAAACAGAAAGTTATCTGGTGATTAAAGGCTTCTTTTGCTAGTCAATACTGTCAGAGACTTTCTCTGCTAGATGATGCTATCTGCTGCCCTGAAGATGAGAAACAATAATGACATAATGAAGGGAAATACTCATGATATTGGATCACAGCCTTGTGATACAGGAACTCATTTCTCTCCTGTTCCACAGAATTCTCACAACAATACAGAATCACAGAATTGTTTCAGTTGGATAGGACGCTTAAAGGTCACCTGGCTCAACTCCCCTGCAGTGAACAGGGACGCCCACAGCTCCATCAGGTGCTCAGAGCCCCTCCATCCTGACCTTGGGTGGCTCCAGGGATGGGGCATCCACCATTCTCTCGGGACAATCTGTGCCAGTGCCTCATCACCCTAAATGTAAAAATCTTCCTTATATCCAACATAAATCTCCCTTCTTTCAGTTTGAAGCCATTTCTCCTTGTCCTTTCACTTTCTTTTCTGTAGCTCCCCATTAGACAGAGACAGGCCGCCCTCAGGTCTCGCTCAGCCTCCT